AAGAAAAAAAAAAAAACAAAAAAAAACAAAAAAAAAAAAAACAAAAAAACACAATATCTACGAAGTGTTGCAGTAGAGGAATTAGTAAGGACATTTTGTGAATCCTAATTATTTTCCTTCTTAAGGTTTACATCTTGCAATATATGGCTTTTGAACGAATAACTAGATATTTTAACAACTTCACTCCTTTGTAATTGTCTTATTTTATACTTATCTGAGTAATTAATACAATATTTAATAATTTAAGGAAACCTGACTGTGTTTTTTTTTTTTTTTTTTTTGTAGACTAGATCAAATATAATTCATCTTACCCAGAAAAAAAAAATCCTGGCTCAGTTAGAAGGACCAGAAGTGGATACCAAAGGCAAGCCATTTATAGCTGGTTGGTAAGTGACATATGAGGTGGGCTGGCAGGAAAGTTTTGCTTACAGAGAGGTCTAGGCTAAATTTAAATGATCCAAAAGGTCCTATCTACAAAACTCACGTGAGCCCATACACACACACAGAGCAGGGAAAGCAGAAAGAGAGAGGGACACAGAAAAGAGGACACAGTAGAGCTCCATCACCATTCTTGCTGGGCCCCAGGCAGGGCAGTGGGGTGCCAGTCCTGAGGGGACCCGTACGGGAGCTGCAGGCTTTTCCACTGAGACCCAGCTCTGCCGCAGCTGGGGTTGCTACCCTGAGCATCCTCACCAACCCCATGAAACCAAGTAACCTGAACATGTTCCTGTGCTCCATTCTACATTCCCATACCTGGCAGCATTTCTGCAGGGACTAAAAGTAATCCTCCTGAAGTGTCTGGCAAATCCAAACATTTAATGGCAGCCATTTTGTTATTTAAAAAAATTGCAATAAACATAAAATTAACAATAGTGCTTGAAAATGGCTTGTTTCTTGAAAAAGTTAGCAATTTAATATCCACCAAAACCAGTATTTGCTGAATTAAAAATCTTAAACCTGAAGTAAATTTAAATTCTGTGTGGTTATATACTGTGTGTGTGTTCAGGAATTCACTACATTGCTGAGGAAAAATAGTCCAGGGAGCTGGGTAGCTGGAATCCTCAATGAGAAACAATAAGGTCAGAGATACTTAAACTCTATCAATTGAATTATTTGTACTTTATAGAATTCTAACTTTGTTGATAAAAATTAACGTATACTATAATTTTGACAAGTTGTCTATTAATTTTTTTATTATTGAAAAAGCTGACAATTAAAATGAAAGAATTTTGAAAGAAGGAGGTACATTCACCTATAATCCTGCCACCTAAATACCAGCCTCGTCATTTTGGCATGATGTCCCCAGACCCCCTCCACCAAGGTGCACATCTGCAGCTGGCTGCCACCCCAGGGTACAGTTTTTCAGTCTACCTTTCCTTGCTATGACAGACATCTTTCTGTATTGCTACATACCAGAAGTCTAGGATTTTAAGCACTGCAAAACAGCCTACTAAATGAATATATCTCCACTATGGAAAGATAATGAACACCAAAGCAATACTGTTACAAATTAGGAGGCCTCACTCATTCACACCTACCAAGATTTTGTTAGATAAGGCCCCCCACCCCAACTCGATCCTTCTTGAAAAATTAGTCTGGTTGTCTTTATGACTTTGTTCCTTAAATCTGGGAACTCAATATGCTGGGTAAATACATCATCTTAATCTTAGGTTTCACCTGGGTAAGCAGGAAAGGAAAAATGTTAGAGACAACATTACCGCCAGTGCCATCTCCACTGGTGAAGTCCCCTCCTTGAATCATGAAATCTTTGATGACGCGATGAAATTTGCTTCCTCTGTATCCATATCCTTTCTAAAGAGATTATGTCAATTGAGTACACAAGTAGATATAACCCATACTGTAAGATAAACCCCAGTGTTTATCTGGAAATGACAAAATGAGAAAATTACACAAAATATCTACAGAACTAGGTTAGGTGCCTGCAATAATTTACTGATAGAAATTTATCATTAGCTGACTGAAAAGTAAACACATAAACTATAGAGGTAAAGTATTAACCTGCACAAGTAAAAAGAGAGAAGTCTGCATTTTCACTTGATGACTGTTTCCTGTCAGTTTCTAGAACCCTGAGGAAACTGAGGGCTTGAAGAATAGCGATTTTCTAGGAAAATAAAGTAAAATATTGTTAGATGGCTCAAGTTCATCTCATCTACTAATTTAATACTTATTTTCCCAGAATACATCTTTACGTTTGGCTTAAAAGAAAGAAGATCTACTTCTGCACAGTTAAAGGGAATAAAACTGAGACATACCTCTCCTGTTGCCAGAGCGACAAAATTTTCCACAGTCTTGGGCACAACTTTTCCAAAGAGGCCAATCACAATTCTGCCAACATCTTTATCTCCAATCCTCACATCAAAGAAGACCTGCGTGTGGTTGAAAGGCAGAGCAGAAGGTTATAATGTGGAAAAGCCACAATACAAGGTAAGGGAACATGATAATCTGAGAACTGATCCACATGCAAGGGCCCTGCCCACCAGTATTTTATAAAGGAGCACGAAGGAGCTATTTTATGAAGGAGCATGATATAAATTAAAGGAGCTCTGAAACCATCTTGTGGGTGCATTTCACTCACAAATATTCATTCACCAAACAGTTACGGAGCACCACCTCTAGGCCAGGCACTGTACTAGGAACTGGGTTTAAAGTTGGACTCAGTACTGTGAGAGTCAGCCAGTAATGTCTTCAAGAATTCCTCTCCCCTCCACAACCCAGACCAGCACTGCTCTGGCCTCCTGTTTCCTAGCTCTGCGGACACGGGTTAGAGTGGAGACTTTGGTCTTCTGAGAGGTAATGCTCTCCAGTCTTGGCAGGAGGAAAAAAAATGGTGAGGAGAGACACAGTCTAACCATCCAGATTTATTTTTTCATAACTTCGAGCAGTGCTAAATTCCCAGTGAGTTCTCAGTAGACATCTGCTGTCAAGGGGACCGTGAAAGATTATCACAACACACAACACTCCTCCAGAAGGCCTGCCACTCACGTCCAGACACACTAAGGCACCAGGGCCACAGCTGCACCCAAAATACAGCAAACATTACACTCAGGTCCTGACAGAACCATTTACCCTGTAAACTCAGACACCAAATTCAGTCATCATGTCCCCAAAGTTGCACATGTACAATGTGTCCTTACTCTGTCACAACAGTTTAGAACAGAAAAGAGCAAGCACACATCCAGAAATGAGTCACTTTTTTTTTTGCAGATAAACTTTAAAAGCTCTCTTGGACTTTTTCTTAACTGTTTCATCTGAAATGAACTTACATACATCTTGCTTCACAAATCACTGTGTTGAGATGATTTTGAGATAGAATGCTTGAAAAGGCCATGGAGTCAAAGGGCATTCTATTAGCGAGTTTAGATTATACGAACCAATGTACTGTTTGAATGGGTGAAAAAGACATTCAAGAGATGGCTTTAAAAAATATAAGAAGGGTTGTCAAAGAGAAAAGATGTCGTACAGTTTAGAAAAATCATGAAGTAAAGACTGTCAAGCTTTAGTTCAAGACAAGAGCTTCTGTCAATACATCAGGACGCCTGTCACAGGATGATGTGGTATTTTGCAATTTTACGTGGCCAAAGCAGCAAAGACTGTATTATTATTTATATGGTAAAACTTCACAGAATGCATAGAGGACGGTGCCCTTGAGATTGGGCAGTGCAGTGGAGTAGCACAATTCAGGAAGCTGCATTAACACCCACAGGAGCCCAGCATGCAGAGCTGGGGTCAAAGAGAAGCAGGTTCTCCAAAGGGATTTCTGAACCAAGGAGTAAATTCAATAACAGGCAATAATGAAGCAGCACCGGGACAAGAATTGGGTATGTAATCGTAAAGAAGCACCGTATAAGACACTAGAAAAGCCTATCAGACTTTTAAAATAAAGAAGAGGAAATAAAGCCTGTGAACACTTCAACAGCAAAGAGAATCAAATATGGGAGGGCAGCATAAGAAGATGAAGAAAAAGTGTCTGTCACCCAGCGTAACTCTTCAGTAAAAATCTTATTTTCCTACACGCAGCCTAGCACACATATTAATATGACTTTTTTCCCAAACCACAGCATCCTTCAACTTCATGCGTGATGGCAAGAAAATATAGCAGAGTTTCCCTAACTCTAATGGAAATGATGAAATCAAATCTTATTGTCAACAAGTACTTGTCAAAGATCCATGCAGAAGGCAGCGTGAGGGTACAAAGCTACTGGAGGGAGTCCCTGTCCTAAGGGAGCTTATGTAAACAGGCCAAGTAAACGAACAACCATAGCACAAGGTCCCAGGTTACAAATGCCCCAAGAACACTGTACACCCCCTGTTCTGGAGGAATGTTAAGGCTGAAGGAAGGCATCCTGGCGAAGGTGTGATGGGAGGCAGGCCTGGAAGGAGGGGAGCAGCCTCCAGGGACAAGGATAGGCAGTTCTTTCTGGGACCAAAGCACTGAGGCAGGAGAAGTGATCCATGTGCAGAGAAGCAACACAGCCCTTCTGACCGCAACCGGCTGGCAAGGGAGACTCTCACCAGTTCCAGAGGCAAAGGAAGGATGCCAGCTAAGAGATCCAGCTTTTGTTAGGCAACACTAGGAGCATGAAAGACAAAATTTCAATTTGAGGCTGCGTTCACTTGGACTGCGATTTATGATGAATATGGCTCTGTCTAGGCAGGGAACCCTTAAGGGGTAGAAATGGTGTTTTTAGATTCCCAGTGCTCTGCACAGTGTCAGCTCACACAGGTACTCAAAAAATCCTAAATAGTTCAAGGCCAGTTGATACTAAATGAGGACCAGGGCGCACACACACCTAGACAGAGGGTGAAGGTGGGCCCAGGGTGGCTGCCAGGCAAACCCTCTCACCCTGATATCGTCTGTGACTTTGCTGCGTGTCCTTGGGAACAGGCCCCATGCTAGACAAGGGGTGGGGCTGCAAAGTCCCTACCCTCCTGGAGCTTACCGTCCCACAGAAGAGAAAGCACATAGATACTCGCTATAATATAATGGGAAGTCAGGTTTCACGAGGAGATACGTACAGATAAAATGTCACGGTTAGAGGTGATGATTATCTGTGGAGATCAGGGCAGGCTTCCTGGAAAAGGTGGCACTTGAATTTCGTGTTGCACTTCAGGAGCTGGCCCCTCAGTCACTCCTTTTTTCCCTTGAGGCTGCCCTTGAAAGTCATTTGAAAATTACGGGGGGACTTCCCTGGTGGTGCAGTGGTTAAGAATCCTCCTGCCAATACAGGGGACATGGGTTCGAGCCCTGGTCCGGGAAGATCCCACATGCCGCGGAGCAACTAAGTCCATGAGTCACTGAGCCTGTGCTCTAGAGCCCACGAGCCATGACTACTGAGCCCATGTGCCACGACTACGGAAGCCCACGTGCCTAGAGTCTGTGCTCCGCAACAAGAGAAGTCACTGCAGTGAGAAGCCCGCACACTGTAACGAAGAGTAGCCCCTGCTCGCTGCAACTAGAGAAAGCCCACGCGCAGCAACGAAGACCCAACGCGGCCAAAAATAAATAAGTAAATAAATTTTTTTTTTTTTTTTAAATTACAGGGCACTGGAGGTGGGGAGAGACAGGGGAAGAGGCAAGAGGCACTCACATAGCCTGGCCCAAACCCTGTAGGGTTAATCCTGCTTCCATTTCCAAAGTAACTGGGGAAGACACCAAGGACACGAGCTGTGAGGTCCAGGAAACTCTTCTCAAAGCAGCTCCAGCACTAACTAGCCATGGGACCTTGGGCAGCTCTGAGCTCCTGTTCGTCATCTGTACCCAGATGATGACTCCTCTCAGGGCTGCATTGCCACAGGAGGATTAATAACATAACACAAATAACACTAACAATTGACCTCTTTAATCAGGAACTTCAATCAGGGCTAAGCATTTTACATGCTTTATCACATCTAATATGCAAAACCCTGCAGGTAGGTATTATTTCTCTTTCCACTTACAGAGGAAATAGAAATGGAACAGAGGAGGAGCCTCAGACATTAGGTAACTTGCTGTTACCCCAGCTGAGGCCTCTTGGCCACTCCAAGAGCTGCAGAAAGTGCCAGCAAACTGTGACATGAGTGCAGCTGGAAAGATGGCAGCAGTATTTTCTACAGTCTCGGTGTCTGACCCTGCACAGAGCCCGTGGCATCTGCTGGAAAGTGCAGGGCTGCAAACACTAACTCGGTGGATCTTGAGACCAGTGAGCTGGAGCCCGAACCTGAGGCTCCACGGCTGGGCAGAAGGCTGAGGTGTCCTGGCAGCAGGATTCATGGACAAGGTGAGTGCCATTAAAGGGCCCTGGGGGGAATAGCACTTCACACCTCTCATTTACAGATTCCTGTTTTTAAACAAAATCAGAGGAAAAGGTAAGGACTGCTGGGGAAAACAATAAACTAGAGTGATGGCCAAGTAATCTACTTTTCCACACTCAGAGAAATCATTTTTTAATGTTTCCACTTTCCAATAGATTAGCTGTTTTAAAATGTCCACTGAAAAAGTAATTCAACAGAGTTGAAACTGTGGAAGGACATGCCTACACAGTTTTTAGAACGTAATGACAAATGGGGTGGGAAAAAAGGAGATACATTGAGTGACTATTCCAAAAGTAGAGTCCTGAAAACTCCCTCAGTGACAGCACCCTGGACTCAGGGCTAAGATGCCCCAACTCTTCCCCTCTTGCAGCCACCAGCTTCCTCCCCTCTCCTCGAGGTTCCCAACTGCAGCTCCACACTCCCAGAGACTGTGATTACCGATTACTTGCTCTGGGGTGGTCTCTGCACTGGTAGGTCTAAAAGCTTCCCAGGTAAGCCTGTTCCCAAATACTATAGGTGACATTCTCACAGTAACAAATTATTCGTTGCATATCTGAAATTCACATCTCACTGGGCATCCTGTATTTCATCTTACAGTCCTATTCCCTTTCTCCCACCCTTATCTAAACAGTCAGCAAGTCCTGTTAGTTACACTTCAAAAGTCGATTTCTAGTCCCTCCCTGGCTCCCCATTTCCACCATTACCCCACCTAATCCAAGCCACCACCATCCAGATTCTGACCTGGAGCCCTGAAGACCTCCCAGTTCACTCTCCACTGAACCACCACAGTAATTGTTTAAAAGCATATATGAGATCATGTCAATCCCATGCTTAAAACCATTCAGCAGCTATAACTGCACTTAGAATAAGACCTCAAATTATGAGAATAATTGCCTTAAAACCCATACTCCGAACTGTGGCCCGGAAGGCACTACCTGATCTTGCCGCTGCTCACCCATAACCTCATCTCAAGCCACTCCCCCTCTCATCCCTGGGCTGAAGCCACACCATCCCTTCTCCATCCTCTGAACATACGAGGGCTTTTCTGTCTGGAGGCCTTGCATATGCAGTTCCCTTTGCCTCCTAAGTCTTTGCCAGGCTTTTTTTTTTTTTTTTTTTTTTCCTTACCCTTCAGGTATTTTTAAATGTCACCCAATCTATTTCCGGGTTTATTTCCTTCATCATTTCAACTTTATGAATTTTATGTTTAAGGCTTATCCCATGAGACCCAAATAGTATCTGCAGATTGGAAGAACCCCCGCCCCAACTTCCCCCCTTCAGCTATGTGGCTTTGTATAAGCCGTTCCCCAAAGCTAGATAAGCCCCAAAGATCAAGGGGCTGGGAGGAGAATCAGTGCTCAAAGCCAGCAAGCTCAGTTTATCACCGCACATACCCCGCAGCACGGCCTTTCTGTTCACTCTTAGGCTACATCAGATGTTGGGCTGAACCTCCCCCGCCCCTTGTCCTCCCCGCTCCTCGGGTGGGGTGTGTGGTAGAGGATTTAAGCATCCAACAGTATCATTTCTACTGGCAGACGCCGGACCGATTGTTAAGACCACCTGCAGCTGCCCCTCCTTCCAGATTCCAAGACACCCCTGCCACTGGGTTTTCTAGAAGTGGTCATCAAGGGCCCCAAATCATCCCCTCCCTCCCTCCCTCTAGCTCTCCCTGCACCCTCCCATTATCCTCTAACCTTGGCTAAATATGGTGGGAAAAGACCTGAAGCTGTAAAGACCCAGTCTATGGCAGATGTCCCCCCACCCCAGGCCCCAATCGTGATCAAAAGGCTGGCCTCAGTTATACAGGAGCCGCCTGTGCCTTGCTAGCACCGTCCCCAAGCCCTGGGCTCCACCCACCAGCCGCCAGAGTCTGAAAAGCGCACGTCTCCCTCCCCGGGGAGGACGGTCGTTCCTAAATACAGGAAAAGGGGGATAGCCCTTGGTTTCAGCAAGGCCACGTAACGCCTGGCCCGACCCCACCGCGACAGGGGCTGGACCTGGGATCTGCCAGGTCGGGTGACACCCGCGGCGGGCGGCCCAGCTGCAACCCCTCCTCTCGCAACGCGTCTCCTCCGCCAGTCCCCGTCCCTCCCGCATTCTTCCTGCTTCTATTCCCTAGTCCTCGCCAAGGCGAAGGAAGTACTCGGCGGACTCCTTCCTGAAGAAAGGGCCCGCCGGTCCCGGAAGCTTCTCCCAACTCCCAGGCGAAGTTCAGACAGCCGGCGGCGGGCGTGGCCCAGCGCCCCCAAAGTCTCCCGCAAGCGGGCAGCCTCCTGCCACCTAGCCCCCCGGCCACCTCCAGTCTCTGCGCCCGGGAAGCCCCCTCCTCGCCGCCCCTGACCCTGAGGTTCCAGTCCCCAAAGCTCTCCCATCCCCTCGGCCAGCACGAGGGGAAACTGCTGCCCGCCGCCTGGTCACCTTGGCCGTCACCGACGGGCCTCGCTTGCGGACGCCTGACGCTCCCGCAGGAGGTATGAGATCGCTGAGCCCCACGCAAAGCACCAGAGGTAGCAGCAGCCGGGGACCTGGGCCCATCGTGATGGGTGGCAGCGGGGGCAGCGCCTCGGGCGCAACCGCAGGCTCCGGTACCGCTGGTGGGACTCTCGGCCGGCTGCGCCTGCGCGCTCCTGGTTCGGGGCGGGGGGGGGGG